AATAGAGGCATAGAGCCGTTGGGGGTGGGGGTGGGGGTGGGTGGGGGTACAAAAAATTCTATAAATACTCTTATTTTCTAACATTTTTATACACCTTCTCCAACATCCAATCTCTAATCTCCATTCTCCAATCTTCATCTTCATCTCCATCTATTGTAGAAGTATTATATCTAACATTTTTAAGATGGAAAGTCAAGATGCCGTTATACGGTATAATAATTTTGATAAGCAGAAGGATCCGAAAACCGGTATGTGGTACGCAACTGGCAAATGGTGCGGGAAAAAATATAGAATGGGGGTTTCAGGCGGATAAGGGATGACAATGAAGCATATTAAGTCATGTGATAAAGCTAAAGAATCGGGAGGTGCGAGAAGTTCCGATTGATTACAATTTACAAAATGTATGTCTCTTGAAGTTTGTTTTAATTTTTAAATGTAGTTCCTATTTAATTTCAAATAAATGCACTTGAAGTTTGTTTTTAATACTTGTATAAAACTATAAAGTATAAATTATAAAAAAAAATTACTTCAACCGGTCCGACCCGGCCCGACAGGTGGCCCGACCCGTGACCCGGGCGGGTGGCCCGGCCCGAACCGGACCTGTCCAACCCTCGGGCCGGTCCCGGGTCCATGTGATACAAACCGGCGGTCCGACCGGGCCTAGGCCCGGCCTGGACCCGACCCGGCCCGAGTCCACCTCTACAATAGACCCCTTAATTTATCACATGAACTTAAATTTGAAGTTTTCCACACCTTCCAATATTCGAAATGGAAACGTGAGAAGGTTTCTATGCTTCATAGTTCTAGAATAAACACTGTAGTACAAAGTATTTTTTATTTTAGGCTGCATATACTCCGAGATATATATACCAGCATATAGGGATGAAGTGTAACTTTCCCTGTGTGGAACTTCAATGACAAATGTCAGATCAGCAATGAGAAGTAAATGAGTGCAAGAATTAAAAAACCATAGATGAAAAACCATTTCTGTCGTTCCAAATATGCTGAATCCATATTAGAGCAATAATAGAACTTAAGCAAGATAAAAAACCATAAAAAACTTGTGTCCATCGTTTGCTCTCAAACCAAATTTAGAATCTATCACCTCCGTACAAGCAATAAGATTCGTTGATCCTGTAAAAGACTTAACTGAACCAATGACGGGCAAACCATACTTCTCATCACATGTCTTAAATTGTAGATTTTTTCTGCTAGGAAATAAAAGCACAACCAAAACAACAAGCATTTGAAATAAAAACACAAACAAAGTAAAAAGTAATTAAAACAAAGTTCACTCATTTTCTTCCAAACACTAGATTCTCCAGCACTCCATGGCGGCGGTTCAGGAAAGAGACGAGCCAGCAGTACAGTAGCTTCTTCCTGACCTTGTCTTTTGTTCATCATGCTAGAGAATTAAAATACTAAGGTGATTACAGATAGAAATAATTACAATTTTAGAATCAAAATAAGGGTGTTTAAAAAAATTTGACATATTAAATGTAGTGATTTTATTTTTAATTTGATTAATTATAGTAACTTAGTTTAATTTTTACATTTAAATGACTTTACATTACATCTATAGCAACTTTAGTCATCTTTTAATTTTGTAAATAAGTCTATCATTCTCTGGTTTGATAGACTTATGTTCTTTCTGTAATTAGAATCGCCCTAACTAGTGACTAGATATATTTAAAAAATATTTAGTGTACACTTTGATGTACACCCTATATAAAAAATGTACCCCCTCCCTCTCTCCTCTCCACTCATATGTTCAATTCTGCCATCTTTTTTCTTTCTTCCATCTCCAATCACCCCATCTCCACCATCTCCATATCCAACACTTTACATTTTTTACTATTTTCATCTTATGTTCTTATTCATCTTCTTTTTCCATTAGATTCCATCTTTACCATGTCATGTTGTGTCAGCTTTTATTTTATCTACTTCATTATCATCAGAGTTTTAGTCACCCGTAGTGTCACCGAAAATAACCAGAGTTGAAGTAACCGGAAATGATATAATTTGTATGTATGCAAAAACGAAACAAAAAACTAACCTAACATATTGTAAAATTTTGCTATAGAAAAAAACACATGTATACTAACATTGGGTTTCTTTCAGTGTCAAATTACACAAACAAAAAACGTTGTAGGAAAATCAAGGTTAGGTGCACATAAACCAATATCTATGTACACAGACAAAATTATATGGGTACAAACACTTTTCTTGTACAAACAACTAATGTCGTGGTTTAGTTGTTTGTGTACACAAATAAATGTGTTACACAAAGACAAAAAATGAATGTACAAAACAAACATTTTTATTTTGTATACCTACAACTATATATACACACATTGGTTCGGGTGTAAATCATATTGATTGACATATTTTTTGTCGAAATGTCAGGTGATTGTACGATAACCAATATCTGTGTAAAGAGACACTAGTTGTCTGTGTACAGACAAAAAAGTGTTAGTATTCATACATTTTGTCTGTGTTTACAATCATTTATTTCAGACTTTTCTGTGTGCATGGACACTAAACGAAAAACAGTATCTGTATATAGAGACATTCTTGTTTATGGCAAAGTTTTATAAAATGTTACATGCTTGCAATCTTAATTTTCTCTAAAGACAAGCTATATCATTATTCAATATGACACAGAAGATATTTTATATAGCACATAGACAAGAATTACGGTGGCCATTCAACTCATATTTTCCGGTGACTCTCTGGCGATTTTCCGGTGACTCTCAACATTACTTTTTGTGTTGCACAAACAAAAATAAAGGTATGGGGTGTACATAGGGTGCAATCCTAGAATTGTTATATAGTTTCGTTATTAGACTAAATATTGAACCGCCTCTGATTTGTAACTAGGTAGGACTGAAAATTTTGTCACCCAATAAACAAACAAGATAGTTATATTAGGATGTTTGTAATTACACTTGTTTCTATATTGCATCAGATCAGTCCATACTTCGACAACAGTAAAATTCACATAAAATTTACATCTATCAGACCAAATCAGTTCAAATCAGATCACACGAAATAAATACAATTTATTTTATTCTACTGTAAACTTTTTTGTTTGGATTTTACTTTTAGGGGCAATGAGAAATACTGAACTTAGCCAAATCGACTGAAAATGATGAGATTTCAATTGATGCGGTTGAATTGACCGAACTTGCCGCAAATGAAGAAATTATATTTTTTTGGCAAACAGAACACAACTATCATTACTCAAGCAGATCGTTCACCATCTGACTTACAATACAATCAGGAATAAAATAAAAATTGTTATCCTGGTCTGGTAATAACACGCTTCGCCTAGCTAGCACATGAGCAACAAGGTTCGCAAATCTTCTACAATAAGAGAGACTAAACCTTCTCTTTGATTTCAATAAACCTTTAATATTCTCCAACAATAAGTCAAAATAAGAGCAAGTGAGCGAACGTGTATACTGCTAAAACCATTTACAACCATTCGAGCATCTGACTCAAACTCCACACTCCCATCTTTCCCTAATTGCCGCTACACCTGCAGCCCGCACACCCAAGGCCTCAGCCTCAACCTCAGCCTCAACCAGACTCCAATCCCCTCTTCTGGACTCCAATTCACACATTGAATTTGATAAAAAGATGAAAATTTCACTACTTATTGGCAAGGTTTTGATTACCCTCCATGTCACCGAGTAAGATGCCCACTATGCATATGATGTGACAACAACGTAAGGTCGGGCCAAATAAGCTCATCAACTTAATCGAGTTGTTCAGTTGACCCCTTGAACTATAAAAAGTGCCAAATATACAAAAAGTTAAAAAAACTTAAACAGAAAATTTAAACATAACTAAAAGTAATTATGGTACTAATTTGCTTAATTTAAGACTTAAGGCGACAAATTGCATCAATATTATTAGTTAAAATATCATTTATGCATTTTTCCTAAAAAGAAGAATCATTACATAATGAAGGTCATAGAAAAAGAAATAACGTGTTGCCACTACAAAAAACATGGGATTGGCTGGAATTTTGAGAGAAAAAACGAAGAAGGATTTGGCAGGGATATGTCAAATCTGTGTCAAAAACACTTTGGCACTGCACGAGCTTTTGGTACGAAAATCGGTAAATCCGTGCCAAATTCCGTGTCAAGCAATCCCGTAATTTTTTTTGTAGTGTGTCCTCATGTTTAAGGAAATAGTTGGGTCCCATTTAGTAACACTGAAATTGACTGAACTTTATGAAATTTATGAAATTATGACTAAAGTGCTTAAGTCCATTGAGTTATGAGAATACTATATTTAAAATATATACGTAGTAGTAAAGAAAATTTTATATGAAAAATAGTTACAATAGTCTTCTGTAGTAATTTCATCCAATTCAATCATAAAAGTAAGTTCAATCTTACTTATTTTCATAGGAATTGTTTTAAATGAGAGTAAAAACATTTGTGTATTTCAAATAGGACTGTCATGATGTCCTTACCTAAATAGGATTAATTACTATCATGCTTTGGTAGTATTAGACTTTAAAGATGATAGTATTTTATAAACGTGGCGCCAATTACTCGTATTTAGGTAATAAAAACATGAGCAAATAGAATTCCAAACTATATTTATTCATATTTTGGAAATTTTTCCTAATACGGAGTATATTTCAAGAATTAAATAATTCAACATGCAGAATAAAAAATTACGTGTTTTTTTTAATAATTGACTAATAAAATTGATAAGGTGACCAAACAAGATCTTAGTTTAACATATTTTAATCATATAAATGTACATTTGCTATAGTGAGTACAAAAACTAGAACGATCGTTTTAATCAAGTGTGCCAATTGAATAAATTCTGAAAATTGGAAAAGAAATGGAGAAGTTTGTACCGCAACAAGTCATTACACCCATTTTCCACTTTTAGTAACAATTTAATCTAGGGTTAAACACTCCACTATTCTCCAAAACCCCCTGTTTATTTAATCCCCACAACTAACATGAATTACATTCATGAGGAGCACCACCCCCATGAAATCCTAGAGCCCTTTTTTAGATTTAATACTAACATTATTATTGCTTCTAGAGAAAGTCAAAATATATTACGTAGTATAACCAGACTCACAGCCAGCCATGGATTTCAACAATCTTAAGTTCTTAAGTAGTAGTTGGGGTGGAGGAGGAGAACCTAGCAGCTTACCCATGGAAGCTGCTGTGGCAGCTGATCATCATCATCATAAGTTTCACTTTCATGATCAGATCAGTACAACAGCAGTCAGCTGGGCTGCTAGGTTTCCCCTTCAGACTAACAACCAAATCCCTACTTCTTGTTTAGCCGGCAGTAGTACTAATGAAATGGGCGAGATGGGGACCCACCCTTTCCAAGAATCCACCGAGGAAGACGGCGGCGCCGGCGGCGGAGCAGAAGATGAAGAGGAGGAGTTGGGTGCTGTGAAGGAGATGATGTTCAAGATTGCCGCTATGCAGCCGGTCGAGATCGACCCGGCCTCGATCCGTAAGCCCAAGCGCCGCAACGTCCGGATTAGCGACGACCCGCAGAGCGTCGCCGCCCGTCTCCGCCGCGAGAGGATAAGCGAGAAGATCAGGATCCTCCAGCGCCTCGTCCCCGGCGGCACCAAGATGGACACCGCTTCCATGCTCGACGAAGCCATCCGGTACGTCAAGTTCTTGAAACGCCAAATCCGCCACCTCCAGCTCACCCACCACCAACCGCCGCCTCCCGCCGGTAATTGGGCCGCCGCCACAACTTTCGGCGGAAACGTCGTGTCCGATGATCCGACGGGCCCCATGTGTCTCAACAACGAGCTGAGGTAATAACTGGCGACCGATTAAGTTAAATACGGAGTAAATAAATTTAAAGCTCGCTAGCGAGCGAGACATTATTGATAACATTAATTAATTATTACTCCGTATCATTGTGTACTTAATAAATATTAATTAATTACGGAACTAATTGTTACTTGAGCATAACAAAAAATTTATCATTTGTGGGTATTGAACAATATTTTCTTATGTCACGTTCGTAGCTATAGATCATGAGTGTGGAGAGTGCATGGTGACGATGATATTCAAGAAAAGAAAGAAAGAATTATTAAAATGTTTGAATTGATCATGTGACCTTAAAAACAAGGAAAAGGAAGAGGGTTTGTTACGATAGCGTTTGACTAAAGTGGCATCGGTATAATCATAACGGCTTGCCTTGAGTTTCGTACACCCATCCTTATTTTATTATTATCTGTATATATATATTATGGTTTCCTATAAATAGTTAAATATATAAATATTTGTTTATTTGGAATAAAGTAATGATTTAAAAAATAAAAATGAAGAGGAATTTCGTGATCCATGTCCGAAAGTTGCTTAGGCGGATTCTGTCCGGGGAAGGAGAAAGAGTACGTAAGAGGTCACTGAAAATGATGATTACAAAGCCACATCGATCACTCTCACCCAAAACACAAAAAAACCAAACCTCAGCATGTTTGAAGGAACCGAGGTAATTTAATACTCCCCTCTCTATATTCAGTTTCACCGAAAATACTCCTTCCACCCAGGACCGATCTCGTGTTTCTGACGTAATTCAGTTTTTTTTATCATATTCCTTTCAACATTAATTTAATGATACTCTTTCTGTCTGGTTAGAAGATTCTCATTTTTCTTTTTTGGACATCCCGTCAGAAGGTTCACATTTTCATTTTAACAAACAATCAACAATCTTAAGTGACAAATTAATCATTAAATATTAAAAATAATACATTTATAACATCACAGGAATCAATACTAACTACATTATAATATATACCTATTAAAATTATTTCTCAAAATATACTCGAAGTCCTTTATTTAATTATTGTGTAAATAACCGTGCCGTTTTGCTATGGGAACTTTCCAACGGGACGGAAGGAGTAAAATATTTTTAATAAATTTAAATTCTAGATGGCATATGTAGAGATAAGGAGCCGGTTTGGAGACCCGGCTTATCAGCCATCTTTTTCTCCAAACACGTAAATTTTAATTTTGCGCGCTGAATTGTGTATTAATAAGAAAAAGTAAGGTTAAAGTTACTTTTCTGGCATCATTGGCTGAAGTTATTGTACATGATCATTTTAGCTATTTTTCATATATTTTGTATTTTATTTATTAATAACAAATTGATAGAGTATTAGTTTAGAGATAAGTGAGAGCTAGAGAGAGTGTGCAATTAATATTATCCAACACTTGCAACTACCCCAAAGGGATATTTATAAGGAAAATATGGGTTGGACTTCCAAGTCTTGGGTAAGTATAGAATCTAACTCTGTGAGGTCTGTGTGGCCGACGGAGGACCATGCCAATGGAGGGCCTGACCGACGGAGGACCGAGTTCTTCTTCTGGGCTTCTGGACCATATATATTAAGTGTAATTTTTTCATAAATAAGCAGAATCAGGCAATACAGCCACTTCAACCATAACTTCATAAATTTCAGCAGAATCAGTCGATGCAGCTAATTTCAGTGTTACCAAATTGGCTCAAGATTTTTTGGTAAATTATATATCTTGTGTCTCGCTATCTCATTTTTATCTCATTAAGTTTGTAATGTCAAGTTTGGTCGTCACACACAAGAAAAAACTTTTCACAAACAGTGGGTATTTTAGAAAACAATTATCACAAGAACACCACTAACTTCACAATTATTGAATATAAAAAACATCTCATTTATAACAGCATAATGATCACCACTAACCCCATTTTATTATACACCTATCAAAATTATTTATAAAAATATACTTGAATTATCTTATTTAATTATTATCTAAATAACCGTGTCGTTTTGCAATGAGAACCTTTTAGTATAATATTTATGTTTATGTTGTTGTAACTTATTTTTAAAGTAAATTAAAGACTTGCTTAATTCAGTAAACTCAAAATTAAAGACTCACTTCTTTGATTGTTATAAATTTACAATATTCAGCACATAAGAAGTTCCATTGTGATAAAAAAGTGTTGGTTTCTCCGGCAAAAAACTATGTTATTAAAATATAGCAAACTTCTCCAAACGTTTCTACATATGTTATCACTATGTGCTTATTCCATTATTGAGAGACATAAGATTATTATTGACGAGTATACAAGATCATCACATGCATAAAGATTTGGAGAAAATAAATACTCCGTATTACTTCCTCCATTCCCAAAAATACTTCTCACTCTCCTTTTTGGGCTGTTCCCAAAAATACTTCTCACTTTCCCATTTTGGACAATTTGTGTGGCTCACGTTCATTTTACCTTTTTCTTACACAACCACAATCATACATTTCCACTTTATTCCACTTTCTTAATAAGCGTGTCAAGTCAAACTGGGAAGAATTTTTAGGAACGGAGGGAGTATTATACAGGTACTATTTAAGGACACACAGTATATTTCAGTTGTATAAGTTAAGCCATTTAGGTAAGTTTTCAATATTTTTTGGGACTTTAAAAATTATTTTGACAAACTGGGATTGCCACACTCGTGTCCTAGCTTATAGGACCGCCTAACCTCGACTGTACCATTTTACGGACACAAATACACAAACCATTATTGTTACGATTAAAGACTATAAAAAAAATTAATTAAAGACCATTTTTTAAATTAAAGACTATAAGATTGTTTTCATTCAATTTATGTTATATATACATGACTTCTTATCGACAATTTTTTTTTTATTAAAGACCATTTTTTTAATTAAATTAGACTATAAGATTGCTTTCATTTCAATTTATGTTATACATGACTTCTTATCGACAAATAAATTTTACTCCTTCGTTTCCATTAACTTTCTTCCACATTCGAGTTTAATTTGTAAGTCTATAAGATTGCTTTCATATTGTACATGTTGTTTGTGCTATTTTTTATTTTTTATTTACATTATACTATCGTATACAACTACATATTTCTATGAACTGCAAACTGATTCGATCATATATTCTATAAAATAGTTATTGACAAATTAAAGAAAATAGTTTAGCAAATTAAAAAGCGCTTAGTGAAGAAATTAAAGAAATACTTATATTAGTAGTGCTTGTAAAATGAGACATAGATCGAGTATGTAATATGATGCTCCACGTACTATCAGCGAAAATAGGACACTTTTAGCGTAAATACAGTGTATTTTAGTAATTAGGCAATCATCCCTTGATATTTTGAAACCAGTGCCTGTAGACAAGTTTTAGAACTCGGTAAGATCATTTCAACGAGATATTAAACGCTTTCTACGGAACAAGATAGAGCAATATATGATCGCATCAAATTCTACACGAGTTCGGAGTGAAATCAGAAACATTTGTGAATATATGGTTAATCTGTAACTTTTAATTAATGCATTGTAAATGAAGTTGGAACAATAGCTTTAGAGCTCCGATCTATCTTTCCAACGAGATATAATACGCTCCAAACGGATAAACACACAACAAGATATGAGTGTCACAAATACTTAGCTTTATCTCAACGATTTAGCGTTTTCAGCGAAAATAGAGCACTTTTAGCGTAAATACAGTGTATTTTAGTAATTAGGCAGGCATCCCTTGATATTTTGAAACAAGCGCTTGAAGACAAGTTTTAGAACTTGGCAAGAGTTTTCCAACGAGATCTTAAACGCTTTCAACGACACAAAATAGAGCAAGATATGATCGCATCAAATTCTACACGAGTTCGGAGTGAAATCAGAAACATTTGTGAATATATGGTTAATATGTAACTTTTAATTAATGCATTGTAAATGACGCAGTGGTCTTCCATTGTATTCACAAACGGTTTAGAATGAGTCAACTGTTGGCAGTGGTCTCCCATTGTAGTCCTCTGCTGGCAGTGGTCTGCTTACTTGAGTTCAGTAGTCTTTTTTATCCGGAATACATTTTAAGACCAGAGCTCAATATGATACAAAATCGGCTTCCTTTTAGTGACGTGCGATTATATATGAGATTATAAAATAAGATTGAAGTTATTTTGACAATACTCTAAAAACTTACATTGAAAATAAAAATATCGTAAAAACATGAGTACTAGTACATCCAGTTATTTTAACCTATTTTGAAAATAAGGAAAGTTAGGTTAGTAAAACGCAAAATGGACTTCTAATTCTATCTTGTTTTATATTTAATTTTACTCATAAACAATTCATTCGTATAAATATCAGCGTCTTTACAAATGCATCCAGTGCTTAATGTTCATGTTTAGGTGTTTATACGCTAAGAGAATATGGCCTGTGGAGATCCAAAAAGAAATTCATTTGAAATCAAAAGAAATAAAAATATGTTGTCATAATTAGTGAAGCATTTTCTAATTACTCAATACTTAATACAGTAACAATCAATTTCAATAACAATCAATAATCAAGTACAAGTCTAATTAATAATTGTAAGTTATAATATAAATAAAGCATTAGAAAAGTTAGGATACGATAATATAAATATAAATAAAATTATTAGAATAACTTTAGGAATATACACATGAATAATCAATTGAGTGACATAAGACGATAAAGTTAGAAATATGATACGTTCTAATTTTAAAATATAAAGTAAAATACCACCTCATATTCGTGCATGATGAATCCGACTTCAAAAAGTATATAAAATACAATGATAATAATTAGTGCTCCTCATATAATTTTGCCAACATTTACTTGGATTTGGAATATGAAAATTGAAATTGTGTGATTGAGATTTGTGTAAAGAAGAGAAAAATTAAAAATAATGCATTTATTTAATTAGTTCTACAATAGCTATCAATTACTGAGTATTACATAAGTAATTTTAAAAAGTATTAAATAAGTAATCTTTTTAAAAGAAGAAATAATGACAAATATATGATTGAAATAAAAGTAATACACAAAATATTACTGAATGACTACCATATTAATTTTGAGTTATATATCATGAATGTGTTCAATTCTAAACATATGTGACTATACATTATAACTACAATACTCCATCTGTAACATTTTTGTCCATCTGTAATATTTCAGTTATTTTAAAGAAAAATCTCTTAAAACAAGTCATTTGTTACTTGATCCGCACAAATGAACATATGATTATA